TCCCTTTCTCACCAGACTATGAAGTTCTTAAGGGCACAGAATACTATATATCCCTCTTCATTTTTAGATTAAAACTAAAAGAACAAGTATAGCATAATATGGCACACATGAAGTCCATAAGGATTTTCAAAATTGTCTAAGTTAATATTAGAGCAGGATTGTAACTTCAAATGCCTATGGGGCCCAGGCAGGTACCAGATGCGATGAGAGAAGCTAGTGAGGTAGGTGCTGTGGTGAACTAGAAAGTGCACTCCCCCTTCTCCACTCAGCTCCAGCTGGGAGGGAATTGTGGCCATGCAGAATTCTGATTCGGTGCTAAAAGACATTATTGATATTTTAAAGAAAATATCATAATCGGATGTTTATGAGAAATCTCCCAATTTTTCAATGTTGATAATTCAAAATTTTTTAAAATAAAACATTATGGGCCAAATAAACACATATGGAATATTTCAGCCAGGGGAGCCCCAATTTATAACTTCTGATATAAAGAATTCATTTTCAAATTTGCTACATTTCTATTCTTTAAGGGTTAAGAAATTATTGTAAAATTATTTGTACATTTATATGTAAAAAAATCAACTTTACAGAAAAGTTTTGAGAATAGTACAATGAACACCCATTCACCTACATTCAACCTTACTCATCTTGATATCTCTGGATTCCAGTGCACAGAAGGCACTGAAATGTTGTGAAGTCACTGAATGAATGCCCTAAGGAAAATAAAGCAAAATATAGTGTACCACGTCCTGTAAGCTAAAACGACAGGGTGGAATGAATGTCGAAAAATATCCAGAACGAAAAGAAAGAAAAGAAAGAAAAGGAAAGAAAAGGAAAGAAAAGAAAAAAGAAAAGAAATCAGATTCAAGTATGGGAGCCAAAGAAGGAAAACAGAACCCACACAGAGACTCCATGGACCACACATTTGTTTTGCCAGCTGAATGCTTACTGTGTTTTTGTTGTTGTTATTTTTGGCTTGGCTTATTTTAAGTAGTAAGAGAAATAGGCAAATCACCAGGAGTCCAGGTAAAAAAACCACATAGAAGAGACCAGATAGGCTGACAGTGTACTTTCTGCAAAAACTTCCTGATTCAACCGTCATCCATTTTGTAGTTTGGGATTATTTAGCCACACTGGGCTAAATTTCATCTTGGCATTATTAATTCTTTGAGGAAGTTTGCTAAGCAAATGAACAGTATAAACGGGGAAATGTTAAATATTTGCTCTGGGGGGAGCAAAAGCAAATGAGCAGCTTTAAAATCCTTTCTAATTATATTGATGTGCTGACCTTTGTCTAATTATTATGTTCCTTGAAAACTGAGTGGAAGTATTTTCTTTTTCTAAACTATCTTATATTTTAAAAGCACTGGAAGAAATATGACTTTAACACAAAGGTGAACATGTTCACAGGCAAAAGATTCACACATTGCCAATTTACCTTCATGAAAATAAAAAATGTCAAACACTGGTTTTTCTTTTTAACAAAGAGTGAGCTAATTACAAAGATTATTATTTGCTAGAGGGCTTCATCAGATTCCCTTCTCCCTTTTCTGTCAGCAGTGTAGAGGAAGTCTGCCCATTTGCAGATAATGACAGCCTTAGTTACCATGGAGGAGCACTTTTATATGCTAGAACTGGTGTTCAGTGCATTCTTGCATAATCTCATTGAATCCTCAATGATGGATTCACCAGTGGATTATCAAGCAAAACAAGGTAAGCTTCATCATCATCTTCATTTTATTGACAGGAAAAATGACATTTAGAGATGTCAGAGTACACAGCTGAGATTCAAATCCAGCGTGGCTATTCGCCCCACGCCACCTGCCCCCACCCCCTGCAACCCCCAATCTATCAGCATTACATCATACTGCATCACAGAGCTGGATAAAACCTGCCCAAAGTAAAACAATGCACCGGGGAAAATGTTATGAAAAGCTTTAGTGATTTGGACATGCAGAATAAACCAAACTATAATCCAGTCTGGTGATATTTGGCAGACATTTAAGCATTTGTGATTTTCAGAAGTAAACATCTTTCTAATAAGGCCAGGTTGGCTTATCTAGTTGGCTAGAATCACAATTCATCAAGGTATGCATTACTTTACCCAACAGATAATGTGCCTATAAAATGGTGTATAAGTCCAAAAATTGAAATGGAAAAAGGGATCCTTTGAACATTAAATCGAACCTCAGAGCAAATAACTTTCTTAAAGAGAACCAAGTTTTCCTTTTTGTAACCAATCTGAAAACGAACAGGTTCCTCCTTGGGGCCATAATTAAGCTCTAGGAGAGCTGAGATGATAACAATTAGATGTGACTAAGCAGTCTTCTTGAAAATGGTCTATAACAAAGTTTCTTAAAGTGTGTTCTGCAGATCCTGTGAGGAAGAGGGGTTCCCAAGGGCAGAACTATTCTCCTCACAATTCTAACTTTTTCATTGTTATTTGCACCAATGATGCAAAAGCAACAGTAGGTAAAACTGCTTATAGCCTGAGTGGCTAAAAGGCAGTGGCATCAAACTGTACTAGAAGTCATTATGTTCTTCATTGTCATGTACTCACGATAAAACAAACAAATTATTTTCATTTAAGAAGGTCTCGATGAAACAATAAAAGTTAATTGTATTAATTTTTGACACGAATACAGATTTTTTAACATTCTGTGTGAAAAAATGGGAAGTACACATAAAGCACTTTTGCTACAAGCCAAAGTACAATGGTTGATCACAGAAAATACTTGTGTGATTGTTTGAGTTGCCAGCTGAACTAGCCATATATTGTGTAGAATGACATCTTTACTTGAAAGAAGAGCTAATAGACAAACTATAGTAATTCAGACTTGGGTATCTGACATTTTTTCAAATAGGAAAGTAGTGAGCCTTTCACTTCAAGGAAACAATTGAGTATTTGTTGCCAATGATAAAATTCAAGTTTTCAAGTGAAAATAAGTAGAAAACTTGTTTCTACTACCTTAAGTTTAACAGCTTCCCAATACTTAAACTTTTTTTTAAATGAGATAGGTGGTGATATTAATGTATGTGATTTTTTTTTTTTATATTGTGTAGTAATATGCTATTTGATATTGTGTAATGAAACTTCCAGTGTCAACATTTGGAAGAGTTGCATAATTCAGTAAAATAACATTTTCCAAATGACCAATATCTAAGGTTATAAAATCAAACACAGGTAATACACAGGTAAAATATCCAATGGAAGAGCAAGATAGACCAATGGATTTTAATGTAACAAAGTACAAAAGTTTACCAATATGGTTTCAGATGCCACATTGTGATTAACCTTCAAGCAACTACAACTTACTAAGTTTGGTATAGTATCAAAGAAGAATGTATACAGTTATCTAAAAAGGCAATTAAAATACTCCCTGTTCCAACTGTATATCTGTATGAGGCTTGATTTTTTTTTTCATATGCATCAGCCAAAATAACAGCACAACAGTCTAGTTACTGAAGCAGAAATGAGGGTGTAGCTATTTTCTATTAAACCAGACATTAAAGAGATTTGAAAAAAAGTAAAAGTATGCCACTCTTCCTACTAATTTTTTGGGGGGAAGACATAGCTGTTTTTCATGAAAAAGTATTATTTATATTCAGAAGTAATGGGTTGTCATTTTTAAATGAATTGTTGAATGTTTTAAGATTTTCTTGGCTTTCATTTCTGATATAGTAAATATCATCAATTTAATATACATAAACAAAGCTTTTTTGAGATAAGAGTATAAAGGCATCCTGAGATCAAAAAGATCTGAGAATTGTTGTTCGACAGCAGCATCACGTTGACCTTTCCACATGACAATCTGGCAAATGACATTTTATAGTACCTCTGAAGTACAAAAGGGCAAAGACGTCTTTTAAACACACAACAAATGGTTCATTTAAAAAAAAAAAAGGTTCTACATTGCATTAAGTGGATATCATAAAGGAAGAAACTCCCCAAAAGTGAGAGACAATGGTAAATTAAGAAAAATGATTTGAGTTCTAGCACAGATTCTGTCAATCTCTCTAGACATTAGCCTTCCCATCTACAAAATGAAATATCTGAGGAACCTATTTTTAGATTACTTCCTACTGTCAAATCCATGATTCTAATCAGGGACCCCTAAATGGTAGCCCACGCCTGGCACCTGGCCTTCAGACTGATCTGCTGTCATGGCATTTTGAGAAGAGCCCCAGGAAAATAACTGGTTGGAGCTTCCCTTTCAGAAGAATTGATTTTCAGTCACAGCCCAATCCAGCCCACTAGACTTGCCCCTGCAGATATCTGCATTTGCAACCTCTGGAATGAAGGGCCTCTAAAACTCCTTTGAAATCCCAAACTCCACAATTCAGTTCCAAAGACAGAGCTTCTGGGTTCCTGTCTCATTCTGCCACTTGCTGGCTGGCTGATTTGCGGCAAGTTATTCAACTTCTCTGAGCTCCAGTTTCCTCATTTGTGAAATGAGATGACACTCATCTCAAAGGGCTATTATGAAGCTTCGCGAGGTGTTGCTTGACAGCACTTAACAGAGTTCTTAACACTGAACAGTGCTGTTAACATCGAAGCACAGAGAGCATTCCCTAGACTCCTCCCCCCACCGGCCCCCTACCCTGCTTACTAAGTCCCATTTTCCAGGAGCAGATGACTGCACTCCCCACGACGACGCTAACTCCCATATCCCAAAGTTGCACATCCTAGGACACACAAGACCCTCCTCAGGCCTCTACTCCTTTCCCTCCCTAAATCCAAAGCCCTTTACTGGGCCCCCGTCAGTACTGGCTTCCTACACGAGCACAGCTCGGTACAGAAGCAAAACACTGACCACCCTCCCCAAGTCTTTTTCCCCATCCCGGACCCCTAAGGCTCCATTTCCCTCAGACCGGAGACCACCTGGGGTCAGGCAGTGGTGGTACAGGGGTCTATGGCCTAAGAATCCGCCCGGGGGGTTGCCTCAGGAGGAATGAGATTAAAACTACTTGACCTCCTGGAGGGGCCCACGAACACTCACCGTCCATCCTTAGAGGTGGCGGTTCCGGGTGCTCCGACCGGAAGCGGCTTCTGCACTGTTTGCAGTTCCCCTGGTTACTGTGGGGCTCCCGACCAATGGCGGTGTAACTCCACCGATTGGGCCCGCCCCCAAGGTGTGACGTCACGCAAGCCCGCTGGAACTCCTCCTCCGACTGGCGGGTCTGACCCGCCTCCCGGGGCTGCCGATCGTTGTGCGCAGGCGCGCCGGACAGGGCCCTTGGCTGCTTGGTGCGCAGGCGCCTCGGGCGCTGCCAACTGAAGTCGCAATGGACGCGCTGGAGTCGTTGTTGGACGAGGTGGCCCTGGAGGGGCTTGATGGCCTTTGTCTGCCCGCACTGTGGAGCCGTCTGGAGACTCGAGTGCCGCCCTTCCCGCTGCCTTTGGAGCCCTACACGCAGGAGTTTCTGTGGAGGGCCCTTGCCACGCACCCGGGCATCAGCTTCTATGAGGAACCTAGAGAGCGACCCGACCTCCAGCTCCAGGACCGGTCAGCGGCTTTGGCCCTACGGGCGGGTAGACGGGCTCAGAGCCCGGGGTCTGATGGAGCGGGGAGGGGACCAGGTTCTGACTCGAGAGGTGTAGGGGAAGGGGGTAGAGCCGAGGGAGAACCGGTAGTCCGATGAAGGGAGTAGTGTAAGGCTGATTTGGGGTTCCTCAGGCCTGGTGGGACCCAAGCGTCTGATGGAGCAGGGAGTCATCATGTGATGTACTATGTGAAGTCCTATTATGTCCACATGTATGTTTGGGGTGATGGTGAGCAGGACTGGGGGGATATTCTTGGCGCTTCAGAGAGTATTTCCTCTAAAGTGGAGGGTAGGATTGGAGTGGGAAGGCAATTCAGATGAAGACTGGAGACACTTGAGTTCAAACCTTTATTGGGCATTCATCCTTCTGTGCTGGATTAGTGGGCCTAAGGCAGCTAGAGATCTGCGTAACAACAAGCTTAGCAATAATAATAATAATAATAGCTAGCATTTATTGAGTGTTTATTATTGGTCTGGTACTATTTTAAGATCCTGTTCTAGGAGCTTCAGGAGGTTAAACTCACTTCATCCTATGAGGTGGATGCTGTTGAAGATTTGCAGAAGAGGAAAGTGAGTCATAGAGAGAGATGAAGTAACCTCTCCAAAGTTATGGAGATTATAAGTGACTGAGTGTTGATTTGAACCCAGGCCAAGTGTCTCCAGACTCTGCGCTTTTAAGCCAAACTGTGAGGGAGAGGAGAGGTTCCCAAAGGGAATAACTGTCCAAAACAACACTTCAAGGTTGGATTTAGGTGGCCAGTTGGCAGAGTATTCAGGACAGAGAACAGCAAATGTGAAAGCCCAAAGGAAGAAAATAAGTTTGGTTGAAGTGTAGACTTGGAAATAGAGAATGAGGAATAATAGTCGACACTTATATATATGCTTATTGTGAGCTGGGACTGTTCTAAGATCCTGATGTGGCAAGTTATTATTTTTTACAACAACCCTAGGAGGTAGGTATTATCCCCATTTTTCTGAAAAGAGAATTGAAGCACAAAGATGTTAAGTGACTTGCACTAGGTCATCAACTAGCGAAGGCATAACCCAGAATTTGAATCCAGGAAGTGTGGGTACAGAATCCACTCTGTCCTTAACCAAATTGGACTGGAGAGGTAATCAATGATCTCTTCATCCGCTTAAAGAGTTTATCAAAAGGACAGATGGAAGCTTCTGAAGGCAGGAGTAGACGAGGCAAAGAGCAAAGTTGAGAGATTTGTAGTAATTTAATCATGAACAACCCAGTCATGGTTTAGCTTACCATAGTGGAGGTGAAAATGAAGAGGAGAGGTGGATGGAATCAAGACATGAGGAACAACCAAGACAATTTGGTGACTGATTGGATGTGGCGTATAAGGAAAAGTAGAAATCAAAAATGATGCCCTTCAGTTCCTGATTCGAGAATGAGAGGTTAAATAGTACAGAGGTCACAAGGCAAAGAAGAAAGGGTTGAAAAGTGTATATGGAATTTAGCCTCAACTAGACTAGTGTAGGACGTCAGCAAGATTTCTGAGAACTTGACAAACTTGGTTGACTGGATAAAAGGAGAAACACACGTCAAGTGTCTCTCTGGTGTTGATAAGAGGCAGCTGGGAGAGTGAGGTGGTGCCAAGGAGAGACTTGTGGAAGGTGGGACGGGATGTTTGGGGAGAAAAAACAGTATTGAGGATTCAATGGTGAGAATTGTTAACATGCAAGTATTAATCAAAACCATAAAAATGGATGAAGATTACTAGAGAGATAACTAAAGAGAGGTAGAAAGATGATACCTTAAAGAGGGAAAACCTTGAATTATTAAGTCCAAACCTGATGGTTTGAAAACTAAGCACAAAATTTGGAGGGAAACCAAAAGACCATGACTTGGGCCAATATGGTGATTCTGGTTCCAGCATTCAGCTCTGGAGTGGATTTGGGGAATCCTGGAAAGGTCTGTGTTTTCTAGAGCAGAAAATACTGCTTGTCAAGATGATCTGCATTTATAAGGCAGAAAGACTGAGTGATATCTCACTCCTGCTCTCTGATCTCTGCAGGAGGTTGTCAGAACACGCCAAGCATGTATTATTTCTAAAGCCGAGTTGTGGTTTGATATTTGTGCTTTCCTCCTTAGGTATGAAGAAATCGATTTGGAAACTGGCATTTTGGAGTCCAGAAGAGACCCAGTCCCTTTGGAGGATGTCTACCCCATTCATATGATCTTAGAGAATAAGGATGGCATCCAGGGCTCATGCCGGTACTTTAAGGAGAGGAAAAACATCACCGGTGATATCAGGACTAAGTCTTTGCAGCCCCGTTGTACAATGGTGGAAGCCTTTGGCAGGTAACTTATTTACACTGTCAGAAACTCATGGGACTCTTCCTGCTTTGAAGGGTTGAGTCATATCAATGTGCTGAGGAGAGGGCTCCAGCAGACAGACAGAAATTGAAAGTAAACTGACAGGTAGGAAAGAGCATGAGGAATGGGAGCTGGGCTGGGGTGGAGGAAGGGTAAAGTCAGAGCACAAGACTGGTCTGCAGCCTCGGTGTCTGTCAGAGTACATCGTCTCCACACAGGCTTAGTGTGGGGGTGATGCACTGTGACAGACGCTGAGTGCATCTTCTTCACTACCTTTTTTGCCCTGCTCCTGTTTGGGGCTAATTTTGCTCAGGGGGTCTGCCTGCCTTTCCATATGTATCTACAGTCCTAGCACAGGTGGGCAGAGCAGGCAGCTGTCATGTGGATTGGTGCCTTTCATTCTTTGTCCAAGCTGGGCCCTGCGCTTGGGGGTCAAAGGAGATGAACAACTGTGGCCCTGCCGAGGGCTAGGATCAGGATGCTTCTCTTCCTCCTCTTCTCCCCTCCTTCTCAGCCCAGCTCCTGTTCCTCGTGCTCTTTCTTACCTCTGTCAGTTAACTCCTCTTTCTCCTTTAGTTTCAATTTCTGCCTGTCTGCTTGTGCTGTCTCCCCAGCACATTAATTTGACTCACCCCACTTATAACAAGACCTTCCCTTGACCTCAGGTGCCCTGTAACTGTAGCTCTCTCTCTCATGGCTGCAGCCATGTTTTTTTGGAAGAAGTAGCTGTACTCTTTCTCCCTCTTCACCTCCCCTGCACTCCTCTGCCCACGGGGGTCCTAATTTCTGCCTTTATCACTTCACCAAAATCTTATCCTCTAAGACCCCTATTAACAAGCCTGGGACACTGTTAGGCCCTTAATCTCCTTGACCCCTCGACACCATTAGAGACTTTTGAAGGTTTTGCCCTGTTGCTTCCCGCTCTATTTTGTTTTTCTGTTCTAGCTAATCCTCACCAGCTCCTTTGTGGACTCCCAACTTCCTTCCGCCCCTTAAATGTTGGCTGCTCTCAAGGGCTCTATCTGATCCCCAGACCTCCTCCCAAGTGCCATGTGTGATGTTTCAATAACCTGCCCCTCTTACCCAGTGTGCCCAGAAGTTAGAGCATCACTCACTCTTCGTTACCCCAAACCTGCCTTCTCTTTCTTTTCTTTCCTCTTTGGTTTCTTTATTCTGGTCTAGGGCAGCCCCATGCACCTGACTATATAAGGCATAAACTTGGGTTCTCTCTGGGCACTTTCACTCCCTGAATTCTACATTCAATCAGCCACCAAGTCCTGTGGAATCAACCTTCTAACTTTTTCTCAGACCCCTTTTGGTCTCAAATTAATTTCACCGCTTATTTTTAAACGTTTAGATTTTAGCTTCTCGAAACATCACAAGGTCTGGCTGCACCGGCACTGAATTGTTACTTGACAGCATAGGTCAGAGCCATGAACCGTGTCCCATGCAGTTCCCCACACCCTGCGGCTGTCCGCCCTGCTGACCATGGCCCTTCAGGCTCTTTAGGAAGTAGCTTGTGCCCACCCAGCTGCTTGACCTCAGCCCCTTCAACTTGCCCACTTCTCACTGTGTTTTGGCCTGAGCATGCAGGCTTATTTTGGTCTCAGCTGTTGCATGTGCTGTTCCTTCTGCCCCAGATCTTCATATCACCACCTGCTTCTCTTCTTTCAACCTTCAACTCATCTCCTTGAAAAGTGCTCCCCATTGTCCAGGCACCATCATATTACTCTTTTCGGTACCAAAAATGGTCATAAGTGTTTTTTATGTCACTCTTTCTTCACCAGACTATAAACTCTTCGGAGCAAGAACTGTGTGTCTTATTCATAGCTATAGATCTCTAGGGTCTAGACGATGTCTGGCACAAAGTTGGCTCCTAAAAATGCATGTTGACTGATTGATTGCCTATTAGGTTTAAAGTTGTAACCCCTGACCTATATCGTAGGATCTAAACTCCCTAGCATGTTATAGAAAGGCCATTCAGGATGTGGACTCCCACTGACCCTTCAAACTTTCCTTCCTTCTGCTTTCTAGCTTGCCACCACACCCCAGCCTTTCCGGCCATGTCACACCACTCACGTCCCAGAGCAGGCATGCTCCTTTATGCTTCTAGGACCTTGCAGATTCTTATTCCTTACCTTCACCCACCTAGCTTCTTGCTAACTCAAGAACTGCCTCTTTTGAGAGTTTTCCCTAATTACTATGCACACGCCCACGTCACACACATAGGCTTGAATTACGGGTCCTCATATGTGTCATTTAATAGCCTCAACCACCGGAGCTGCTCTCTGTCAGAGCAATTGTTATGTCAACCATAGAGTAATTTTCTTGTCTTCTTCTTTCAGTAGACTATGAACTCTTTTCAGTAGACTATGAACTCCATTTTTATTTATCTTGGTATTGCTGGTACTTTGCATTGTGCTTAATCAGTGTTTACTAACCTAGATGATGCCCACAGTCTGCAGACTGAGCTTAGCAGGAGTCATTGCTTCAGCTAATTGGAAACAGCGGATTTATGATAACACAGGGGAGTAATCTGAGTACATTTTTAAAACAGCAAATCGATTCCCCTCTTTTCAAACTTTCTTTTCCCAGCTGGCTTCTTCCAATTTAACTGAACGAGCCTGTTTTGAGACGAGAGAGCATAGGTTCTAAGTTTCTGACATGCAGACACAGAAAGTGGACTGACTCTCACATGTGTTCACAACCACATCCTTTTTAAGGATGAACTATATGGACTTCCATGACTCTGCAGAAGACCAAATATAGGTTACAAACAATATGAAGAAAGCTGCAGTTAAGTTAAAATGAAGATAACCTCTTCTTTTTTCTTTTTGTTTCGTTGGTGGTAAAAGTGAAGTGATTTGAGTGGGTGGGAGGAAGGAGAACAGTCAGACTGAGTTTGATGTGACTTTGAGGTCAGCCATCTGTAAACAACAGGCTAAAATGAGTAGATGCTGGCTCAAGCCCACGGGCCATATGTGGCCCCCCAGTGGCTCATTCACCCAGGAAAGGGAGCTTCTCTGACTGGGTATATCTCGATGCCAAGGAGTGAGTGAGTGTGCACTGGGTTTATTGCCTGCACACCCTCATGGGATCTCTGCTGTGGGGCTTGGGCCCCAAGAATGTGTGCATGGAGTGGGCCTATCTGCCTAAGACGTGCATGGAAGTTAGCAGGCAAGGCACTGCGGTGGAACCTCAGTCTTCAGTGTGGGACCTGTCAGGCCTCAGCAGAGATATCAGTATCCTCAGCCGTGATATATCATTGCCTTACTAGGAAGTGTTCTTGGCCTCTTTTTCAGGTATTATTTTTCATACACCAAGTCAGTGGGAGAAACTAATAATTTGTCCAAAGTCTGGTCTTCAACGGACTACGAGTCCACTGATTACACAGTTCAGTGTTTTTGACTCTGAAGTTTGCTTTATCTGTCTGGTTCAGTAGAATAGTTCATTCGCTTAACAAATATTCACATAGCCCCTACTATGCACCAAAATCATTGTAGGCACTGAGGATGTCTTTCTCGTGAACAAGTCGGCAGACAATATGCCCCCTTTTATAACACTTCTATTTGAAGGAGGGAAAGATAGGAATGTCTGGAAAAAAATTGTGTGTGTGTGTGTGTGTGTGTGTGTACACGTGTGTACGTGCATGTGTGTGCGTGTGTAGCGCCATTTCTAAAAACGCTGGGTGCTGCAAAGAAAATGGAAATGGTCAGGGGTGGGGAATGGTTACTATTTCGGGGAAGGCCTAAGGAGTTGACATCTGAGCAGTGACCTGAATGATAAAAGGAATCAGTCACCTGTAGACCCTGAGGAAGAGCAGCGAGCAGAGGAAACAGCTTATTTCAGGACCAGCAGGGCTGTTGTGTGTCAGGGGTGGAGCTGAGCTTTCGGTTCACATGCCCTGCAAGGCCTGGGAGGGCTTTAAACAAGGAGATGATGACATTGGCTCTGCTCACCCTGAGGACTGCGGCACTAAGACTAGAACCAGCTTAACTGGGGGATTGTGAGCCTCTAAGAAGCAGAAAATGATCATACTCCAAGGTTCTGCTTTTCATATCTTAATTTGAATTAAATTAATTTTAATTTGAAATCAGAGTAATTTCTTCATGTGATTATTTCTGATTTGCAGGTGGGGAAAGAAACTGATCATTGTTGCCTCCCAGGACATGCGTTACAGGGCCTTGATAGGCTTGGAGGGTGACCCCGACCTCAAACTCCCTGACTTCTCCTACTGCATTTTGGAGCGGTTAGGCCGGTCCCGGTGGCAAGGGGAGCTCCAGCGAGACCTCCACAGTACTGCTTTCAAGTAAGGGATGACTGCGTCCCTGCTTTAAATGATAGGGCTCACTGATCATCGTGCCCTTCCCCCACACCAGAGCCTGCTGACTTGTCTTTCCTGTTCTTATTCCTGCCAACTCAGCATTCCCTAATCCATGGTGATTGGGAGCACAATCCTCTCTTTTTGAAGAGACCCTGGGGTGACCATGTAATTTAATGTTCAAACCTGACATTTTGAGAGCGGAAGGTAGAGCTGATGAGAAGGGACGTCAAGGAAATGAGCATAAATCGGAACCTTCTGGCAAATTAGGGTGTTTGGTCACCCTGGTTACAGGCCACTACAGGATTAGAGAGCCATATTCGATTATCTCCTCATATTTGACCAACTCCTCATTGTCTCCCAGCCCAGCTCTCCCTTTCTGCTCTGTTTCCCCTGGCCTCTACTCCCATGTCTCCAGCTACCTCTTCTGGAGATCAGGCCTGCTCCTAGGCTGAGACATGGCTGTCTTTTCCAAGGCCATTGTCTCATAATGACTGTATTCACACATTGTCTAGATAGGAGGTGCATATCTCCGGTGTTTCTGTCCAGGTGAAAGGCTCTCTACCTTGGTGGGTAAAAGCGACCAGCAGAGCAAAATGACACTACCCACAGCCTTCCTCTCCTCTAGGGTTGATGCTGGGAAGCTCCACTATCATAGGAAAATTCTGAACAAAAATGGGCTCATTACAATGCAGTCGCACGTGATCCGATTACCCACTGGAGCCCAGCAGCTCAATCCTCC